CAGGGTCCTCGAGTATTCGGGAAGATGAAGTAATCTCAACAGATGGGCACTCCGAACTTAAATTTGCCTCCGACAAAAACCCCGAATCAGTCTGACCTGACTCATAAAAAGGCAGACTGTCCGAGGTCCCCTTCATAAAAGTTGGGGAGGACGGATCCCTAGTTAGAGAAACGTCTTGATGGCGTTTGAAACTGTCCCTCGTCTGTTCTTCTGTGGGTGATGGTAATCCATGGGGATTCGTCTGATGACGACCCGATGGACAACCTGAAATCGATTCGGAAATGTCAGCGGATGGATGATTCTTGTGCCACATCGTCACTAACACACACACTGAGAAACATCCAGACACAAAACACTGCCACTACTCCCGCAGACTGATTTCACTAAACACTGGGAACACCTGTATATGAATTCATAAGAACGTTTGTCGAGCACTGTTTTCTATTTTAACACGCATGAAGCCATTCGCGTAAAAGTAGGTTACGGCAACTGCGAGAACTGACGACTGTCTTACGAACTAATGTGTATACGAACTCCAGTCGATAGCTCACCGTTGTTCATACTTATTACACCACGAAACGCACACCTGCTTCCCAGCACTGCTGTTTCACCTACTACAAATATTTGAGGTCGAGCGTGAGAGCACTATGCACAATTTCCACAGCAAGACCTTCGCTCCCGACTTTCTAGACCTTTCCGCTAGCGCATCGCCATGTACGTAGCAGCGGGGGGGGGATGGAAAACCCCCAGTGGGCGGAGCGTCATGAACAACGCCTTGACAAAATATAGTTCGGCAGCTCGGTAGCGTATGCTCTAATCAGCAATTAAGTGTACAAAAACGTCATTACGATAATTATATTTTGCATTCAGTATGGTAAAACCTACAGTACGAACGACTTTCAAATAATTAATTTCATGTTACGATAATTTTCCCGCCCTCTTTAGGAAGTAAGACACATGGTACAATAATCAGCGTATTCTTCTTACCGCGTTCGTCAAGTTCATACATCAAGTGCCAGCTACTTCTTAGAAGTGAGAATAATGAAAAAATAATTTATAGTTATTATTAAATTTTATAGCAGTGGTGTAATCATAAATTTCCAACATGAACATTTCTTCTAGTCTCAAAATGACATACCGTGGTGTTGGTTTCCGCTTTATATAGATCGATGCACAGATAGTTCAGCTGCTGCTATCTGTTCGCAGTTGGTGAGACTAGTTTCTCTTTCATATGCCATCTCTTGGAAGGGTCGCGAACCAGCTTTTATAAGAAGGATGACGGAGGCAGTATGACCTCTGAAACGTTGGTTAACATCGACCAGACTACACAGCGCAATAACCCAGAAGACAGAAATCTTCATATTCACCGCTGTGAGAACCTCAAGTCTTACACAGCTTTTATAAGTTTGCAACCGAACCGACGTCATGTTCCTCGTATCAAAATTCAAAAGGAATATTTGAAAATTAATATGACAAACATTTTAAGTTTTTATTTCAGAAACAGTTACGAAAGATAAAAACGTGATCAAATTAATATTAATATATTTATTGCGCATTTTATGTGTTCCATTATAAAGCATGGATTTATAAAAACACTAAAGAGTATTTTAGGCTAATCTTACCGGACTGTTGTATCGTAATAAATAATAAAAAATTTGCCAATAAACATTCGAAAATTTACCGGAAGTCAACGTTACTGGGAACGACGATTACAAATCAAATTACATTCAATAATAAATTAAGAGCAGATTAAGCTTTGGGAGAGTGTTTTGCCATGCAGTTCTAAATTTTATGTCTTACCGGGGTAGAAGATAACAGATCACTCGGGAGATACTTAGGTACAGATGGGAAAACAATATTAAAAAAGATCTTAAGAAATTCGGGTTAAAATGAGTGATCTCGATTTGATCTAGCTCGTAATAAGGGCTGATAACGGGTTCTTGTGGACACAGTAATGACCCTTCGGGTTTCATAAAAGGAGATGAATTTATTTACTAAGAGTGACTTGAAGCATCTTGATTCATGCAGTTAATCTGTAGCTATTTTAAATCTAAATCGTTTTAAAATATTTAGGCCCAATCATGTGTTTTGTCACTTTAAATGTTCTGAAAGTCTTCGCAGATGCCAGACATTCGATGTCGTATTTGGAAATGAATCATTTGACTGTAATGACGTAACAACAGTCTTATCTGAGGCTACTGTATTTGAAATGTACGTGTCTGAATGCTGAGAGTAGATTCAATTAGAGACTTTCCTAATCATTCGGAAATTAACTCTGATGCACGTTAAAGGCGGTTTTCCCAGAGCACTTAAACAATTGGAAAAATCCAAAAGAAAAATATCTTCATGGAAGTTACTCACTATCTTATCTTTATAATCTGTCACAGATGAGTGAAGTTACAACAGTTCCGAACAGCTAGCCCAAATCTGTTTACCGATGGGAGAAAAGGAGTTTTAAGTTTGTCTGCGAGGTTAGCCAGTAACTTCATGCTATTGCGGATTAAGGGACAGTAACACACCAAAATTATGTATCAGGTCTCTGGATTCCAATTCCTGAGGTAG